CAGTCAGCTAAAAATCAGACTTGCTGATCTTCTGGAAAAGATATCTCAAGTTAAATTAATTTTTACAGGTGTGTTGTTGCTTGCAAACTCCTGTGACTTATAAAACAGTAGAGTTTTTTGGTGTTGCTTATTTATTTATTTATTTATTTTCAAATTATCAAGTAGCTGCTCAAAGCCAACCTGGGTTCTGAATATCCAGTTTTTCTGACTTGAGGACTTGCTCATTTTGAGCATATAGCAAGCATGTCACAGATGCATACTGAGGCTACCTTGTGTTGAAGATTCTATTTGTTTGTTTGTTTGTTTTTCAGGGCTGCAAGACTCTATTCTGCAGTCCCTAGTGCTTACAAGGCTTATTTGCTTCCTAATCCTCCTATGGCAACAGGTTGTAGTTGTTGATAAGCTTAGGACAGATTTTGTAACAGAAAACTGTACCTTTTTAACTTGCCAGCATCTAGTTTGGCTTGCTGTGTTGTGTGTCTTGAATAGGAAGGTGTCGTTTGTGGTTTCTTGGGTTTTTTTTTACACATGTGAGAGTTGTAGTCTACCTGTAAGTATCTGTTTTGTGGCTGTTTTAATTCATTTCACTCTACTGGTGGTTGCTCTTCTGGGAGCAGCCTTACTGAAGAGGGTTGTTGACTTGGATTTTCACATAACTATTAAAAATTGTAACAAACATAGCCAGATCCTTGGTGTGGGCTTCCTATGGACAACTGCATCTTCCACCATCCCATCGTGGTCCACTGCCAGCAGGCTCCACATTAAGCTTTAGCAATCTAGCCTCTGGTTGATTGAATTTCAGTTCACAGGGTTAATCATCGTCGCATCACTGCACTGCAGCGTTGTATTTGCATGGATTGCAGTGTTAAACAGGAGGAGGCCAGTCCTGATGAAACAAAGAGCTGGACATCATGCTGTTTCTGAGCTCTGCTATTTAGAGTTGATGTATCATGGAAACAGTTGCTGAACTTCTGCATCTCTCACTGTCTCCTCTCCCCCTCTTAAACTTACAGTGGAGTTGCTGAAGCTTTATTGGTTTTGTAGAATATTATAATATTTTTAATAATAAGTAAGATATATTGGAGATACGATAGTACTGCAGCATACTTGGTAAAACGGTGATGGTGTTCTCCAGAGATAGTGGTTAAAACCCCAGGAGTTATTTTTAGTGACTTATATGTGTAGAATGTTAGTGACAACTGCAGAATAAAAAGCAAAAGCTCTAGTCTTTTAAAGATGGACACTTGCAAACTACACAGAAAATGAATTAAATGCTTTCATTATTATATATCTTATTAAGTACTTAACAGGGTTTGTGTTTTGTGGTTTTTTTAATCAAAACAGTAATGAAATGGGTGTCTTATTTGATAATTAATGTAAGCACTTCAAAGGTTCACACAGCTTCTTTTCAGTATTTACTTGAACTTGGGGAGAGTTATACTGGCAGTCATGTAGCTCACTGACTGCAGTGATGCCACGCTGTTTCTGAGGAAATGAAATGGCCACAGGCTGCAATGAAGAGTACCGTAAACTGCTACCTAATTCTCTTTATATGTGTGATTCGTGAGTATGTCATTCTTGCAGTTCTCACAATTGCAAATTTCATGGATAGATATTTTCTTTTTTATACTGTTTGTCTAGAGTAGTTAACTACTTATACGCGCCCAGCTAAGTTTCTTTCAGATATCAAGGTAAGAATAACTGCTGGGAGCTTTTTTACATCTGAGTTATTTTTGGGTGGGTTGAATGCGTACTGAATGCTCAGAGGTATCCTGAGTTACAGGTATAATAGTGTTTCTGCAAGTTCGTGGTTGTTATTAATGTAACCTTGAAAATACATTAATGTTTTATTTAGTGTAGAGAGATTTGTTGTCGGCCTGGAGGAATTGTCCTGTAAGATCATATATACCATGTTTATTGTGGTATGTTTGCCAGCAAAGAATGAGCAATGTATAGTCAGAAATCTGCAGGGTCTTTGATTTGCAAGTAACCCACCTGCTTTGCTGAAAAATTTTGAGCTTTATAAAAGCTTAACTGAAAATTTACATGTAGAGTTGGAAACTTCTGTAGAGTCTTTGGAATTGAAAGCTGGTTATGTGTCTCCACTTCGCAGGATATTGTTTGTATCTGAGTACAGGTAGTGTCCTTGCAATTTCAGTAGTGTCCTTGTCATAAAACTGCCAACTTTCTGTCTTGGTTAATGTATGACTTCGCATTTCTAGCAGGCGTAGTGATTATCCTCCTATATTGGGAGGACGTTTTGATAGTGCTTTATTTGCCTATTTGTACAGTTAGATACTCTCTAAATTCTGACAAAAAAAAATAGTTCTATATACTTTCTCTTCTGCTGCTCTCTATCTACTATAACAGAACACACTACAGAGAACATACCTTGTCTTCTGACTTTGCCTTAAGACACCAGTTAGGTAGGCCATCTCCTCTCAGTTTCATCTTTCACAAACACACCTAACGTTTCCCTATATTGTACGCTTTTGTGTCTGTTTCCTTAACTCTTGGGATCAAAGCTCAGTCACCATGTCTGAGCTTTTTCTCCTGACTCATTGAAGTGTTGCAACTGTACTTGAGAAATCTCCAGAAAAACTAAATTTTACTTAGAAAAAATATTCAATTTTTTTTTTTTTAAGAAAACTAAGTTGAACTGTACTTGTGTCAAACTTGCACAATTGTCACTGTTGTGTCATTAAGGCAAAATAATTTATTTTTTTCACTTAGTTCCGGTCTTGTGATATACAAGATATATCTACAGATAGAGTTTTGGCAGATTTGATAATAAACTGCAGCCTAAGCAATTTTCAGTTTCTGCCCTAGAGTAATAGGCGCATAAACAAAAATTCCACTGACAAATATCTTTTAGGCTGAAGAAGACTAATCTCAAGAAATAATTAAAGGAGGAAGACAATATTTTAGAGCTGGGCTTTTTTTTTTTTAAATATTCTTCAATAAAACATTCTTTTCCAGGTAGGGAAATACAGTTCGATATGTTATGTTACAGTTCTTATGTTTCTGTGTTGAGCATCATATTTTAGAGTGATTGCTAGTCACCTTTTTTGAATAAGGCTTGGGTAATTCTGCTATTCATAGCATTATTAGTTCATTCTTCTTTGTTTTCACAATCCATGAGGGGGAAAGATAGATTTGAGGTTTTCTTCTTAACTCAGTTGCACTTCAGGGAAACAAAACTGTCTCTAGGTGTTTGATCTGATCTTATATTCATTTGTTGCATATATTTTCTTGATCTACCCTACCAGCATGGAGTATTAAACAAGCCTGAAACATCGTTTCTTGCAAGTTGACACTGGTTTTCAGAAAGGTAGCCTGTGTTTTACCAGAGACTGCAAAGCATGGGAGAGACTTGAGTCTCACCTTACTACCAATTTTTAAGTCTTTTGTCTTCAACATCTCTTTCACCTGGAAGCACTTTGGAAGTCAGGGTATTGCTGTAGGATTGGGCTGACTGAGACCTTGAGGTGCTTGCGTTGTTTTCCTGTCATTCCTGCAAGTGAATGGTCTGAACTCCAAGGTGGAGATTAATAACATTTCTATTGGGTTGTGCTGTGTGCTCCCTAGTTTGAAGGGAGCAGCTTGTCATGAGCAGTGTGTTCCCGAGCATCCCCACCAGTGGTAGATCACCAAAGATATTTCAAAGATAAGCCAGTCTGATGAGTGGGAGAGTCAGTGCAATGATCACTGACACACTTGTCAAGTATGTATGACTTCCAAAGTCAGAAAGGGGCAGAAGGTTTTTCTGTTGCCTTTTCTTCAGTTTTTTTGGTCTGTTTCTGTGGAGACCACCATGGCCCATGCTGAAGTGAAGGAGTCTTACCTAGCCCCAGGTAGATGAAGGTGAGGACAGTTATTTTTTTGGAAACTCGGCGGGAGAGTGGGGGTTCTGCTTACATTTGTTAAGTGGTGGTTGATAAACCACTGTGATTTTGTAGACTCAGAATGTTCTTAAACATGTGTAAGCATCCAAAGTTACCTTAATGCCACTCAGCTTTTGCAAGCTATGAATTCAAATTGTTGAGTTGACTTTTCCAGTTCCTAAGGAGAACCTTGAGATAGTTTGAGTTAATAGAAAGTAATTACTGACACCCATTGTCACCTGTCAGGAGAGTGAAGTTTTGTTGTGGTTTTTTTTGTTTTGTTTTTTGTTAACTTTTCAGTGATGAATAATTTCTTTCCTCAATCTTGGAGGATTATTAGGAGTAGCTGACATCTTAAATTCTTCCTTGAGGTGGAATCTGTGGCCTTAGCTGTGAAACAGGTGTCAGAAGGATGCCATCTGCTAGGTCATACATGGGGAAGGAAAGCAGAATCCTATAAACTGGAAGGATTTAGATTAAAACTGGAAGGTTTTACTGAAAGGTTGAAATTAAAGAAGCTACAGGATATGATTTGTAATGTCCATCAACTACAGTAACATCAAGTGGCTGATTAAATGCATTGTGTAACGGTTCTGACATGACATATTGTACTTAGTCAGAAGTGCAATTTGTACATTGTTGCTTTAGTTTTGTTTCCCTTGGAGCTGTCACAATGCTCTGCTTTGTTTTTGAAAACTCACTGACCTGGAACTATGCATAATTGCTTTCCCCCTCCCTTTCAAGTACAGTATATGTAGTAGACAATATTATTAACAAACCTCAATCTTTTTTTCTTTTCTATCCTATTTGGCTTGCTTTTACAGCTATTGATATGTTCAATTTTCACAGAAGATCGCTGGTTATCTTGTACTTTCCTATGTGCTTGCACACACCTTAACGAGCTCCTTCTTGTTTTTGCCAGAGATGGTGCGCTGAGTCATTTCCACGAGAGGCTTCTGTACCACTCCGAAGCAAGAACACGTTAAAGAGTAAAAGGCGTGAGGGCGCGCCAGTGTTTTCCTGGCTAGAAAGCTAACCCCCAAGTGAATGTATTGAAGATTTCTAGACTTGGTGGGACAAACATCTCTACCTCCAATTTTATGAATACTGCTAGCTATGGCTGTGGAACTCTGTCTGCTGCTGCTGCTGTTTTGTGGAAGTACTATTTCAGAGGTACAGCCCATATACAAACCACCTCCTGGGACTTTGGATTTTGGATTTGTACCAGCCAAGACGTATGATACAGGTGCATACCATGAACCTGGGCCAATAGGAATTTTGTTTAAAATAGTACATGCATTCCTGTACTTAGTGCAGCCAAATTCTTTTCCTCAAGGTAAGCAGATAAACAACTTTTTTTTTTTAATTAAGATTTGTTACTGATGCATTGATCCTATTGTGGATGCCAAGACCATAATTTAGAAGTAAACCATATGAAGGGCATTGTTAGTAGCATGTGTTACGACCTAGAAATGTGTGCAGTTCCATGTAAAATAACATTTTTCTGCTAGGCATAGTGGGGAGAGGTTGTTAATGAAAATGAAATGTTGATGACATTTCACAGAAATTTGCTTACGTATCTCAAAGTTGTCATTGATGCATTTGAGGGTTTTTTTCTTAACTGAAACTTTCTGATGTATGCTCAAACGCGTGAGAATAGGAGTGAAACAAACTGCTTTGTATTTCATATTAGATCCATAGGAGATGGCTCTCTGAGATTTGCATCTTACGATAGACAGTCAGGTGGTTATAATATTATGAGATTTAGCCTAGGAAGTCAAAACTTCACAACTTGAAATAAATTTCATTTGTTTCCACATTCGTGCATCCACAGTCAAGTTTTATATAAGGGCAGTTCCATTACACAGCTACTTGTAACTTCTTGTTCCTTTGTAAGCTGAATTTAAGACTGCATTTGTTTTATTGAGGTGGGTTTTTTTCCATTCCTTTCCTACTAAGTTGTCCCTTCTTCTAAAGAAAAAGTTAAGATATTGGACAAATGTGTGCATTGATTAAAAAGTGGTTGCATTGATTAAAAAGTGGTTTTGGGAACTCTGAGTGTTTGTGGAAGTGGCAGCTGTATCAACTTAGCTTTCCAACATGCATTTTGTTTCATTTAGCTCTTGAAAGAAAATGCTAATGTGTTTGTATATGATTGGCATTTAAAATGATATCGAGGTGAAGCTTTAATAAAATCTAAGAATGGATTTGGTTTGTTACTGATTCCTTTTGGTGGTTTAGCTGTAACTGTGTATAAAAGATGTTTATATTATTTAGAAGTACATGTTTCAATTTATATATTAAAATCTTTGGTAATATAAAGTCTTAAATTCTTTGGTCATGTACCTGTATGATATCTGTGAACTAGTATTTGCTTGTATTTTTGACATTTCTCAATAGCTATAGAAGAATGAGCTCAAATGAACTTGAATGAATGAATTCTATTTAGACAAATGCCCGCAGTCCCAGATGTTAACCTGGAGGGCAAAAACCTGGCTTGTTCCCTGTAGGATCTATCTTTTGAGTAGGTCTTACACAAGGTGTAATGAGGGCAATTGCATGAAGCTGACAGTAATGTCACCTTTTGGAGGACCTGTTTCCAGATACCTCTGCCTTTGTGGCCTCTTTCCTTCTATTAAATATGCAGATGAGCTGTTTGAGACCTGATACATTAGGATTGTCATCTGCATTCAGCTCATAGGAAAGGCCTTCATTGTGCCTGAAGCCCTGCTTTAATAGCTTTAATATTTTATTCTCTTATGATCGAGGAGACTTGATTTCAGTGAGATGTTTACAGTGTCTTTACAGTAACAGGAATTTGATCTGTGTCAAATTTAATATTTTGTGTCCTAAGCACGTAAATAATTGAGTTTAGAATTTACAGTCAAGATTATAGTCCTGTGGGATTGCTTGTAGTAGTCGTGGATCAAGTAGGTGTTAGGAAATACGGCATGAAAGAGAAAGGAGACATCCAGAAGTAAATCACTTGTTCTTAGCTTGCAAGCTTTGAACATCTCATACCTCTTCTCCCTTCCTTGCAGACACTTTTTGCCAAATGAGTTGGTTTTAGAAGTTTGGCTTTTGTTACTTGCATTAGGTGAAGTCCTTTTCCCATGCCCCCACACACCTCACTGCAAAATACAGATTTGATGGATCATGTCAGTTTGAGTCATACCATTTAATTGGTTAATCCCTGTAATCTCTTTTGCCATATGCTCTTCTGTTTTCACATTCAGAGTATTAATGGTGTAGTTAGATATTTGAACTGCTTTTTTTTTTTTTTAAACTGCCAACTTGAAATAGAGTTAATTCTGATTCAGAGATGAAAATAAACATAATCACATAGGCACAGAAAGCAAGCCTTTTGATGTTTCTAACTCAAAACTTTGGCATTCCGACTGGGCTGGTGCTTCAGAAGAGTTAGCTCCAGGTTGATGCTCCAGTGTATTGTATAAAACCATAACATACAGAAGTGATTTGTGTGCAGGACTTGGCATCAATCACTTAGACCTTTGATCTTAGTAGTCTTATATTTTTTTTCTAATACTTAGACGTACTTGTTGTTAGGTTTTCCAATCTACTGTTAGTACTCTTAGCTGGGACGAAAAAAAAGTGACAGGGTTGCTTAATTGCATGTAGATATTCCTGTCTTTGCAAGTTATTTTTGTGCTTGCAGTAGTGCTACAATGAAGTTGAGTATGTTACAATATAACATTCATACTCATTCAGCCGCCAGTACACCTTTTGGAAAGAAAGCTTGTGTTACAAGGCAAAATATGAAGTACATCACAGTCTTTGCCAAACGCTATTCAAAGTATTTGCATGCTGCTAAGCCTTAACATTGATTTAAGTGTTCTTATATGTTGCTTAAAAGTTGAAAGAGATCACTTCATTTAAAGAAAAAGAATCAGTCAAGAAATATTTTGTAAGTTGGTGGGGTGTTTTTTGAGTTAAATCTGAGTAATTATTTACTCGCTTCTGAATTGGTTCATGCCATCCAGTTTGTGGACATGCAACATAATCTAAGTTTAGATTTAATAGGTAGATTATTATTTGGGTTAAATATAGCACTCATGTAAAGCACAGTAACAGAACCAGGGCAAGCAACTGTAGAACTCCTTTTTTTAAGTTGCTGAGTCTTTAAGACCAGCACTGTTCTCTTTGGATATGGCAAGAAACTAGTTTTAGAAAGTGAACTAGGATATCTGATTGCAGTGCTTCAGTGAGTGTAAACAGATTCTGCTTTCAACTCCACCAGTCAAATACTTTTGTCCTTACTAGATGTTGTACTGGTGTAAATGGGCGTGAATTTACTCCCAAGCAGGAACTGTTACGCAGGGAAGCAGCTCCCAGTTTGAGTTAATGATACACTGGAGTGGAAAAGACTGTTTAGTCACTGGTTTGCTACCTGAGGCTCAGTATGTCACTTTAATCTTGCTGTGCCTCGGTTTCTCCATTTGTAAAATGGAGATGACAGTGCTACTGCTCCTTTTGTTGAAGACTGTATAGGATAGAGCATTGTTAGTCTTCCCTGTTAATAGCACCACTTACAATAAATAGACAATAACAGGAAAACTACAGGTTGCTTCTATCACTCAGCTAACAAATTGTCAGTTTTTCTCCTACCTAGAATTTGTCATGAACTGCAGTGTTAATTTATTAATAAAGTTCAGTCATTTCCTGGTTGTGATGTGGTGCGTGTCACCTGTTGTCTTGGAGACCTTCAGATGTGAACTTTGTGTAGACAAGGGTATGGTCAGTATGATCCTCTGGCTGCTGTGAATATCTCACTGTGGCTTTGTCTTTGTTCCCGTGGAAACCAGTTGTGAGTTGCAGTAAGAGGATGTTAATCTGAGATTCCGCTTGCCAGCAGGATGTGCACAACAAGTCTTTGGCTTCACAGCTTGTGTCTTGTAACAAAAATGTGAAGAGTTCACAAAGGAAACAAGCTGGGAATAAAGCTCCTGCTCCTATTTATAGGCGGAATAAGACAAAAACTTACAGGCCTGTTTACCTTACTGTACCTGAACGTATTGCAGGACAACTGCGCCACTTATTTTAAGTTACAATTGTGTGGTGGGTTAGGCTGCTCCAGCAACTATACCCTACACAGTCCCCTCTCACGCTCCCCCACCCCAGGGATGAGGGAGAGAATCAAAGAGGAAAAAAGAAAAGAGACCCGAGGGTTGAGGTAGGAACAATTTACTACTACCGCTACCAATACATATATGTACATATCTGTATATATAAAGGATAAACATATACAAACGAGTGATGTACGGTGTAATTGCTCACCACCCCTTGACCGAGGCCCGTCTCGTTACAAAGCTGCAATCCCGAAACAGATAAAACCCGATACCGCAGTCCCGGATAAACGGGAGGCCCCGAGACAGAGAGCGAGAGAGAGGAAAAAAAACCACTCTGAGCACCCGAAAGTGAGAGTCCCGGAAGGGCAAAAGCCCTTCTTTCCGGCTGACCCTCACTTTTTTACTGGGCATGACGCTGCATGATATGGAATACTAATTGGCCAGTTTGGCCCTCAATCTTAAGTTCAGGTACAAATCGTAAGGAGAGTTGTGGACCCCTTGTCCCGGCTATACTCCCCCCTTATCCTGTTGTGCTCCTTCACACTGACAAGAACCCGGCAAGCTGAAAAAGTCCTTGAGACCTCAGTGCCAACTATAAACATCAGTGCACTATCAGCATTTTTCTCAGAGCTAGCCTCTGAGTAAAACCAAAACACGGAGCTCTTCTAGCTGCTAAAAAGAGGAGCTGACTCTGTCCCAGATAAAACCAGGACAAATTGCTTTGTCCCAGCTTCTGCTTTTTATTCTGGATCACCCTGTTTCTGCTGACACAGAAATAAAACTTTAACATCAAAATCAACTGTTGAATGCAGGTACTTCCTGCACAAAACATCATATGAAGAGTTAAATATACTGTCTGTGGGAAACGAGCATAAATTCATTTTTAGACCTGGACTACACCTCTCAATTCTGTTTGTGGAGTCTTACTTGTTGAACAGTTTGAGCCTAAGACTGAGGATCAGAACTTGATTATTTTAATGCTAAGTCCTATTTCTGACCCCTTTTGGTGTTCTCTTCTCCTCATCTGGTCAACCTTTAAAGCAGCTGCAAATTGTGGAGTTCAGCAAGTTAGTCTTGTGTTCCCTATCTCTGCAGTTAATATCTCACATAAGTATATCCAACAATTAAAACTTTAAAAAAAAAAAATCACATAACTTTATGTGAAAATAAACAGTGTATCTCTAGCCTGTATAGATGTAATAGAAAATGCATATGCAAAATCTCGTTGTAGGTGAGCGCTCCTAGGATA